GATCAAGTCCAAATATTGCCATCTCATGATACCTAATCTATCCTCCGAAGGTTAGCAATTGCCTTAACTACGTTCTAAGCTCACCTGTACGTAATACTCCTTTCAATACAAATTATCGACTACAGTCTGCTTGATCTGTCATGGTAGGTACATCTGTTGCTTGTAGATTAAGGTAAGCGGGAACTAGGACTTTGTCGTGCTTGTTCGCTTATAATGGTCAGAGCAGATCTAGTTTTGATACGTGTTAAGGTCTTACGTAGGCATTTTTTCTTATCAGATTCGTTCGTAGTACTTGTCGTAATCATATCTATGCGCCTGTATTACTCTTTGTTGCGCCGTCGACGGGTATTGATTTTCGCGAGTTGCGCAAGTAATGCTAAAACCGGGTACGCTTACATTGGAACGACCGTTTACGTCGCTGCTTGAACTATGATTTCTTTTGAATACGACAGTTTCTGAGGCTGTGGTCCGCAGGATTTAATGCGTTGTTTTTCTTCTAAACGTATTTCCGTGGCAAGGTTAGCATTGGGAGCGTTCTTCAGTAGAACAGGGTAGAGTTTTTTACGAGTATTTTCAAGACGTTTTAGCACAAGCGTCTGCTCTTTAGCGTGTTCTGGTCTTAACACACTACATGAGGCACACGTTAACCGATTAGGTCTGGTTGTTATCGTTTAATCCAGGTACTTCGCATCTGCGATTCATCGGTTTGGTGTTCGCCCACTAATCAAGTAGAATGGCATTTCTAACTGCACACTACTTTACCGTACCACTGATTCTAATACGGATGTTCAAAGCTAGTTTTTGTTTATATATTTAGTATAGTCACAAAAGCGGGACCAATACTTCATCTGTAGGATACGATTTGCCTAAAGTAAAAAAACAATTGTTCGAATTTTTTTTTTAGTTAAGGTGTGGTGTTGACCTTGCGAATGAGTTGGGCTGCCCAACATCTGGCCAGCTTAATTCATTGAATGTGAACGGGTTTTGCTACGGATAAAATTATGCATTTATAATAAACATATAAACTGCGCAAATCACATTAATCATCTCAATTCCAAGTCTAATAGCACTGTACACGTGACCGTACCGATGCTTATGGGTAAGCAGGCAAACTCTCTGAGGTAATTAAAATAGAAACACTGAACAAATACCATGGTTCTAGATAATCTGCCAATCAGAAGGTATCTTTCATTGCTGCGATATTTTGAAATCTACAAAATTCATCACCTGCGAAACAAATCGGCTATACTAAACGTACGACAACCTCAAGGAAAGATCCTGTTTCTAGAAATCGTGGTCTACGATATTGTCCACCTTAAAATAAGCTACAGCTTTTAAACCTCTCGAAATGATAGATGAAGCTCTTGCATAAAGTTGGAATTTCTAATTAATAATAGAATACCTAAACTTTTCTTAAAAGCCATCCTAAAAAAAGAAAAAGGTCTATCTGTTCCCGTTTGATAGTTTGGTGGTTCTGACGACGTAGATTAAAAAGTAAATTAATTGTCGGACTTCAATATTTGAAGTATAAATAGTCTATTTGGACTATTTACAAATTGATTAGAGTTAGACATTTTAAATACGCCACCCCTTCTCTCTTCACTGTACATTAACGTGGTTCCCATTATAAACAACAGGTAAAAATTGCGTGTATTTATTTTACAAGATATAACACACTATTAAAAGTAGCTTAAAGCGAGCTCAATAGGTATTATCAGATACTGCACCTCTGGAGCTTCTATAACAAAGGAAAAACGTCTGCTGAAATAAGAAAAATTAATATCACAGTGTACTTTATAAGCGTACCCTGTGGCATAGAACTTGCTTTACGATTCGCCACCGCTCAATCTGACGTGTTACCATTTCGAGTTTTCAGACCGAAACTGCAGTTAACATCCGCTTAGACGGCTTGTACTCAGCCCAAAACAAGTTGCGCCTTCTAATCTAGGACCGCCAAACTCAAGTGTATTTCCTGGTTTGTAGGCATACACGTTACTACTGGAAAATCATGAAAATCGCTGCTAATGATGTAGTATGAAAAGAAGACTGTTTAAGAATATTTTGTAAAACTCAAATCGTCTAGAACGTTGCTCGGAGAAGAGTGTTTGACAGGAAGACGTAGAAGCTCGAAAAACGTATTCTTTCCTGTAGATAAAAGAGATATGTCACCCTAGTTGCTTTCAATGTGCTAAAAAGAATACAAAAGTTCCTTTGTCACATACTGCCATAATGGGTCGTTTTAACCACTGCGCTATCACCGTTAAAGTTTCTACATTTCTAATGAGATCGTCTATAGACATGTTCTCATTTGCCGGTTACTTACCTCTCTTCCGTGCTGAGATCCAGTAGCTCAACTGCATAGAGGGATTCATGAGAGAAATTCTAATGCTATAAATGCTGCTAATTCGTGAATAAACTAATTTCTATTGTATTGTGCTTCTACTTTAATTTTGCTGTTTTCTATCTTTTCTAAATACAAACGATTCTAAAAAAAGAGATATTGGCAAAATACAAGTTGCAGGTTTTGGTCGATGATACTAAATATTTCTAATTATTTTTCAAATTAGCTTATGAAAGCAACAAAAATTGTTGATAAGATAGAACTATTTTAATGTTCATTGCAGATATCTGTACTTAGTATGTATGGTTCTAAAAAAGGCTAATGGCTAACCTGGAATAACAAGATTTGCAAATAATATTTACTATTATTTGCAAATCTTGTTATTCCAAGTAATAAGTACGCATGTATAATTAATAAAATTTTATATAAAAAATAACCAGACGTGAAGCGAGTGTATGAGACGTACGAATAAAAATTCGGATAATACTATCCAGTTGTTTGGTCTAGGTGGCCAAGTATCAAACTGACAGCCATCCGATACTCGTCTTCGGTTTCACTCCAGTCATATAATCCAATTTTCTGGCTAGGCTGGATACAGGGACATTTCCTCTTGCCGCAATGTACCTATTTTGAAATTTAGAAAAATCTCACTGAAAAACACATGTAGACTGTCACAAATTATAATTAACCTTACACCATCCGCATTGCTATATAATAAGAAGAACCAATTAGTTCTGATTTGCTATAAAACACTACACGCGATTTACCACACAATGTTGAGTTTAACAATGACTTTGGGATCTATTCAAACGGGAACATTGCACTGGCTGTAATATATAAATAGGTCTTATTTTAGTTGTCGTTTATCAAGTTTGTTAAAGTTAGCGATTTCCCTATCTGCAAATCGCGTCTTACGTCCATATTACTTCCATCAAATCTGGTTGGTGAGGATCAGCAGCTTTTTGAAAAGCTACGAAAGATCAGTGATGATAACCTGGAACGATACCGTTTGCTAAATACGGTTTAGCCAAAACAGAATTACGTTCTATAGCTATACAGTAGCAATTCTACTAGAAGTTTATCGTGGCAAAATTGAGACAATATTCAACGACATTATACGATATCAAAGCGACCTCATTCTGAAGATTCCAATGTTTCTTCATCAACCATCCCTGTTCTGCTTAAATTATTAGACAGGATACAAGATCACTGAAGTGCAAAGAAGAAACCGGGAGCACAAATGTGATAGATCAAAGCAGCTTATGCTGATCTTCCACAAGTACCTGAAAACCGTAGACGTCACACCAGCTAAAGAGTTGGAAAAGTTCCGTACGTATTAAAACCCATGAAACGTCTATTATGCTTTTCAGAACGCACAACGATCCATAAAAATAACGTTTCACTTGTTAGCTCTACGATAGCAGTAATAGTTGATAAGACAAAAAAAGAAATGGTTGTACCGAGTTCCTCGCTGTATAAGTTTGAACGAAGACAATAATCAATATGGTCTATTTTGATATTCTATATTTAATATGGTCTATATATCATAACGCGCAATGTTTGTATAGCAAAGGTAAATAAAGAAACGAGGTTGGATCAATCAAAGCCCTTCATACGTACACACACTTACGGTGAATACAAAACTGAATTCCTCAATAAATACTAGGGGTAGGTATACCTATGATCTGTAGCATACTAAGGAACGGGCTACAGCCAAAGCCAGTGAAATAACAGCGATTTGCCATTGTATACTTTCGAATTTGATTCCGAAATCCGACGATTACCAATATAACTTCATAGGTGCATTTTTTAATAGGTACATCATTAAGCAACCTCTGAAATAGAAGACATTAGAATGCGTTTCAGGAATCCAGAACCAGTAAACAGGCAATCAGACACACTCAGGGATAGTTTTGGTGGTTTAAAGGATGCGCACCAGCAATCTCGTTAGTGAACTATAAATCCTCGCACAACTCCCTTTGTAAAAATTAGACAAACCCTTCAATGTCGGTTATCTTACGAAGCACAAATTGAGCCTCAAGTTTACATGTCTACTTTTTAACGATTATTATGGTTTTTAAACGTTTTTTGTCTGAAAACGGCGGTATCAATGTCCACTCCATCAGATACTTCCTGTTTACACAATAGCCTTTGTCGGGTGGGAAAACTTGAATATGCCATTCCATCAGAAGGTGTTCCTAGTGTTTGTTCAACATTCTATCGCCAACTAAGGTGCACTTAATTATATATATAGTGCACATAATTTATAAAAACGACAAAATGTCCTACTTCAATGTCATTTTAACATGTTCTTTTTGTACGTTTCCAAATGTCAAGGTTTATATAGCTAGATGCTAGTTTCCGAGCCGGGCTCTCTAAGAGAACTAGCCAATCTTATCAGATCACAGCAGAAGTTCCATCAATGCTTTGGTAAGTGGGCCTCGAATAAGCCAAACAGAACATTGCTTCTTTATCTAGAGTTATCTAAGATCTCGTAGAAATTAGGTTGTATGAAAAACCATATCCTCTCTCAGCTTACGTATGCAAGAGATTCAGCTGGCAAGATCAGATTATTTCCTGACTGACAGTGATGAGCAATACCTGGGAAGACCTAGTTCCTTCCTAATTTTTCGTATATTTACCAAAATAGCCAATTGAATGTGTCATACCGTATGAATTTTATTAATCTTAAGCCATATGGGCAAAATTCTGGCGCAAGCAGTATGTATCACTAGCGCTTCCGGCCGTCTGCACTGCAAATTATGAATGAGTTTTTGGCGGCGGAACAGTTATCAAGCCGAGGTGCTTCCGATATTCGATTTCATTTCGAATTTCGCATAGTCCTGATTTGCCTTTTCTCGTTCCGGGCCTACAAGCATTAGCGAGCTTTTTCGATGGTTCGAATACGTTATAGTTAGCGCCTCTTACGTTGCCACTTGGCGAATAGTTGCAGACAACATACGCCTGCAAGTAAGGACCAACAGCACTTGCAGTATTTTTCATTACAACAGAAACCCGCGGAACATGCTGTTGTTGCTGCTGTTCAGTATATATCATTATCATCATCATACTTAACAGAATTGCACAGCGTGCCTAGGGTGGCTGTATTAGCACGTCAATAGGACAAATCTTTGTTTTTGATCTCGTTCTTGCAGTTACCGCTAAAGATTGGAAATTGAACCAACGGATTTGTACGGGAAAGCTAGACGCTGCGAAAACAGAATTTCTATTTTGGCAGCAACGGCGTTGTTCCGGTGTAAAACAAAACGAAGTAAAATTTAGAAAGAGAATCCTGTAAAAACAGGTTCTCACCTTATATCCGGACCTAGGAACTGGCTTCTTAACAAGCCCACAGCCGATTTTATAGGAGCGAGACCATACAAGTGCTGTATAATGCCCCGCCTCAACAGTCCACCTAAATGGAAACATCGCGTCCGGCGGCATTTTGTCGATCTCATCGTACCTGATAGAAAACAAACATACAGAATGTCATACATACTACATGGACTAAACCTAATATAATTACACTGCGTGACGCATGTTCTAGTTGCAAAAGCGGAAAATTGCATAACAGTAGTGTAGTATAACGCTAAAAAGCCGTGGCAACCTAATATATCGATGCAACACCTGTTTCAATGATGGGGTGATTAGGACACAATGACGAGATACCTGGGCTTGGCAACTCGACAATGACGCAAGATAAAGACAAAATGCTGAGTAGTTAATCAAAGAACTGCAATGTGTTTCCTGACACGGGGCAATAAGAAAAAAGAAAAATATTAGAAATAAAAAAAGGAAATAAGAAAAAAGAAAATCACAACAGAATAATAGGGGTCACTATAGTGCAGTTATTAACAAATTCGAATTTCCGTTTGAACTTTCTTCATTAACTGGGACAAAACATTAGATAGCAATATATTAGGGCGACCACAGTGTTGCCGTGAGACAGATTATGCTGATCATACAGTCCATGAAATCTAGTATTTATTATCTAGACACAGGTGGATACCCTTCAGTATTCTTCAGTTACTGCAGCTCATTACCAGACATTTTTAATTGAATCAAATAAAACGAACGACTGACGTTCATCCGTGCGATATTGTATAGAGCTTCGAAAATCGTCACATCGCTCCGGCCGTAAATCTCTATTATACAACCGAATTTACAACCCACGCTTTTATGCGAAAAGGTCTGTTTTTAATACTGTCATATAGTCCTGACGTACCATATTTTCGCAGCTTCCCTAGCTGCAAGTGTTTCGTTGCTATAATCCCTGCCGGACTTCACCACAACATTCTGCCCTACTGAATCGTAGCGCTCGGTTACCCGGCATTTGTTCTCGTCGTGGTCGACTTTTCCTTCGATGCAGAGGTAATGGGCCCAAGCAAGGGCTCCACGCGCCAATTGATCGTCCCAGGTTAGCAAGTTCATGTCACCCCCGTACGATCCATTTGCTGAGGGCCTCTTTCTGCAATCGATCACAAACGCAAAGCAAACGCGCTTTCTTAGCCATTTTTAAGAAAATCGTACATTTACCCGTTTTTACTAGCTAAGTAATTGTGTACGATTATGAATAAAATTCATTCTTACCAATGTGCGCACAAGAAAGCGATGGAACAAAGTATCTTCACCTGTTAAAAATTACCACAGATTAGAAAAATGCTTTGGCATGATCGAAGCAATCAGTTGCCTGTTTGACGGTCTGGAACTTCCTTGACTTGGGAAAAATCATTTCTTCGTGATGATCACGCGCTTCATTAGAAAATGTTTCGCTAAAGTACTCGCGTTATTTCGTACTAAATTATTCACTCACTACTGTGGCCGCTTCGCACCAGATTTATTATCCGATCATGGCGGCGTAAACAAAGAAAGGTAAATACGACTCTACTACCACTTGCTATATGGTTACCAAAGCAATACCATACACAGGGAGAGTTGGCTTGCTCTTCTGAGTCTATTCGTTTTTGTTCGATACAATCAATGGACCCTTCGAACTGTGGAACTACTATACAGAATCCAGGAACGCTGGTGAAACGTTGGACATGGATCGCAGTCTTCTGGTAAAGTTGAGCATCCGTTGACTATTCAACTGCTCTACTCCCACGAGTGATCCTACTGGGCTATTCTCTCAGTCGGAGTAATTATCAATAGAAGTCACGTAACTAATTGCGACTAACGTGTGTAACCATATCACTAGATTTTTTTTTAGAAAAAAACTACGAACACTATGAAAGCATCAGAGATAGTAGCTACAGAGGCGGCGTTCTGTGTTAAAAAGCACGCCCCACCTAAGCATCTATTCTTCAGGTTACTCCACTTGCTTCAAATTGTTCCGATTTGCTCAAGTGAGTCCCAGTCACCGTGTGACTCCATAGCGAAAGCATTGACAGACACGCTGTACGTTATCTTCCAAGGAATCTTCAGTTTTCGACAAACAACCAGCATATCAGAATCTGACAAACAAAATGTACCTAAACAGAGATATTTTACTTCGGTGCTCACCGTAACTCCGTATGTATGGCTAGCATTGCTCTCTTGAAGGTTTTTCCACCGACCGTAGTACCACGACATGTTTTCTTGCGGCATACCGATGGCTCTCCGGGTTCGCAGCGCCGCCTCACGGCGTCGTTACAGCCGATGTTCCCATGAAACCCTCTGGTTGTATACAGCGTAATGATTGTACCCGCTGCAAGTGTGGTAATTAATGCAGCGTATCCCCACCACATAACTACTATTCCTTTCCAAATCTCTATCTACCGATGAATAACTTAAGAAAAAAAATATAGATTTGCAGCTTCGTTGTAAAGATAAATTCAATCTGTAATCTAGAAAATAATTTGTCGACACCGGCAGATAAACGAATGAATACATATTAGATGGCTATATAAATGGGGTACTCTTTTCAAAGAATAGAATACGCATTAACGCATTCAACGAATCGATTTTATGTACTATAAGAAAAAGGTACCCTTTTAATGTGGAGAATGCATCTACGGTACCTGTTAAAATCTAACGACAGTTAAAATTCGTTTTGTAGATAAAATCAAAAGTAGACATTGGAAAAACATTTCTTGATATGCTTGTATATCAAGCTCCTTGTTTTGTAATCAAATTTATTTATTTATTTACCTTTGTTAGGTAAAATTCTTCTAGATAGAACAGAATAGTTGTTCATTATTCTTTATTCAACCAACTTGATACTATATGATTGATCTACGTAAGGAACTTTTGGAGTATCGTGTTGTGACACGATACAGATGTTTTCATTGTGGCCCTAGTCTCCACCACAGCAACCAGAGGGCGCTAATTCGTAATCGCGTGGACATATTGTGTTTACTTCGAAAAATATTAAGCCGTCCTGGCTTTGTAGATACGAGTCGTTCCGCATGAAACCAGAGAATGCAACAATTAAACTTTTTTTTAGCTTGCCTCTTGCAATGCTAAATATGCTCTGCTAGATTCCCGGACATATAAAATCTGATATCTTACAAATGATGTATTTTGTATTGAAAAGAATCTGATTTTACTGACGAATTCAGTAATGGCCAAAGATGTAGCAACTATCATTATCATCATCACAGAGAACAGTCCGCAATTGGAATCATTAAATCGACTCATATGTGCTCTGACGTATTTAAACAATTAATATAACTAGAAGAGATACAAGGAAAACGAGGAAAATAGTTTCTCGTAAAGCAGCTAGCCGATTCCCTGTGCCTTAATTTAATAAAATAAGCCGCGTTCCCGCTAGAGAATTAATGCATCTAATTTTTTTGGGCAAAGAACTGCAAATGTAAGTATGTATAACATACACTAACTTATTGTCACATTAGCTGCTTAATCAAGCCAATCATGAACGTAATTTTCTTATTACATGATTATTACGAAAAGATTGCAAATGAGTAGGTTTTTTTTTTTATAATTCACTTTACCATTCATTCACAATGAAATTTTTCTTGGTTTATCATCATCAAGAGGGATCAATGTATATATATATATATATATATATATTGATCCTTCTGTGAAAGCTATAGCACCTAGATGCAAGATCAGCCACACACAATGCATTTGCCCTTTAAGGCTAGTGGCTTCCGTGGTGATTTTGCTTTGCTTTTAATTGATGGGGCATATTACGGGTGTGTCTCAAGATGGACTATCATTACTCGCTTAAGTTACTCCACGTATGCAGTCTGTACTGGCCTCGACCATCTCCAGAACAGTACGACCTTGCAGCACGACCTACATCAACATGCCACGGTAATAATGTCGAACTTTTTTTTTTATCTAATCGCATTTGTCATGTAGTATATGCCACTGGTGTGGCCCAAACCAGCTTTTTTAGCCGGACCTTTAGCTGTCAAGACCACTGCCAGCGTGATGCCTCATATCAAAATATCGGAACGTCCTTTACTGAAGTTTGACAAGGCACTGCGATCCACATTGTAAGTACGTCGAATCTAGAGATTTATTGCGACCAAACGGCGATGTAGCGGAACCGGCGGTTTGGAAGGTTTTTTTATTTTGTTTTTTGAACCCAAGATACCTATTACATATATACATATACATATCTCTAGATATGTACGACAAAAGGTTTTGTTTAAAAAAGGATCTTTTGTCAATATATGCTTGTATTACACACGGATGTAGGTGCTTCTGTACATGAGATTAATAAAATGAGTTCAAATTCAAGTTGAATTTAGCAAGTCACGCTTGAAATGGAGCTTGGCCTTTTTGGTTGTTATGTGTAACCATTCCTTCGTTCCTCTTTTTGCTTTGAACACTTTGTTTGTTTATGATTTTCTATTTTTACGTGTGTGTGAAAAAAAACGCCATTTTTCATGGCTATAGAGAAATATCCAGTTTAGTATTTACCATGGCTAACTGAGTTTCAACAAGCTACATGACAATAGACACCAACAGTCACGAACATATTAAAATCAGAGCTGTATTAGGCCTGTTCCTTTAAAGCTGCAACGGAAGCGTTGAGGGTAGCTGTAATCCTTGATTATTACCTAAAATATTAGTTATTTTGTAATTCCGATAATTATCTATTTAGAATTCTTAAAGAACTACTAGAGGCAGAAGCTGCGCCTGATAATCTGCTTCATATGAGTCTTTCACCATCAGAATGAGGTTCGTATTGAAAACAAGACCGAAACCAACCAATCCGATTTAAAGATGTAGGAGCTAGATAGAAGTTAGCACATGGAAAAATCATGCGAAACTTGCCTCTATTCAGTGGCGTCAATGTTACTTTTGATCATTACATATTGCCATTATATTATACATTACAGAATCGTTGTTTGCTAACACAGTCCGCTACGATTTGTAAAGTAATCAAGCGCATCCTTACTGTTCATGCTGCCCATATCTATATTTGTGCAGATTTATCTAGAAGCATGTGTTGGATGGGGCGCTTACCTATTCTAACTCTGATACTGTACACCTATCACTCTCGGAACAATTTGTCGACTTTGAGCGCTAATTATATTGCAAGAGTCAACTTATGTGGTATATCACGTTCTATTATAGTACCTAATAATCATCACTGGCAAAAGGTTCTGCTCGAATTATGCATTTATGATTTCTCATACAACAATAACTTCATTACGATTGACGGTCGAAGGGTCCGTCAGGTCTACGTTGCGACATGCATCCCGAGTGGGCGTATTTACACAAATCCAATAGGTAAACGTATATATAAAGGTACTTTTTCATCTTGTTGTAATGATCTCCAATGGATTTGTAGGCAGCGCCGCGTCGACGTATACACGAACAACTCTGTGACTAGCAGTTTATGACATTCGCTCAACTTTTGTCGAATGTTTGTTACGTCATAGGTTTAATACCTTGAAAATTTGATGAACCCTTTCTTAAATACATTATGTGGCTATTTACTCTATTCCATTTAACTCCATTCCATTTTATTTCGGATTTGATTTATACATATAGTGCTGACTCGTGTTATCACCCTTCGTGAGCGGCATAGAATTTCGCTCGCCGGAAACCTTGTCGTCAAGGTTGCGGTGTAGTGACATGAGTGAAGCCGCCTTTACAGCATACGCAAATCAATCTACGTTATTATATACAGAAAATTGAAATTTTTCTTCGTACGAACCTAAAGCTAATCGACACCTATACACTTTTCATGTGAATGGGAATGTGCACTATGTATCCTATCTTCAACGCTCGTGTGTAGGTAAAACTTACTTCCGGCCACACTATCAATATATCCAGTGTTGGCTCCAATACAGGAACCCAATTAACTGATACTCGGGTAGCTTAATACTTTGTCGTTCTTTATTCTCATTTTACGGATATCTGTGAAGACCATGCATTTTACTAATTTGGCAAAAATTCAGGCAACGATGGCTTTATTATCCAACCTAATAATTTTCAGCGGTTTAATTCCCGTGAAGCACCTTCGGTGCTGAGAAAGTATTGAAGGCATCTTGTACGCCTATTTTTGTACCATTCCAAATTACAATTATATACGATACAGCTAAAAACATTGGTAAGAAGGTCAAAAAATGAAAAAAGTTTCACAGCGAAGTAGATAATTAAAAAACAACCAGGACGTTACTGTGTGCAGACAACTTTTCCGATAAGTCACTTGAGTCGTTCAGTAAAAGTCATCATCTCACCTCTAATCGTTATGTAAGTCAACCGTGACTCAATGATCTCCACGGCAATGGTTTAAGCAACTAATGGGCCTGCAGATGAGGGGCCTCCTTGGTTTTATCTCTTCGCTAAGTCGGATTGCCATAATCATAATGTTAAGTTAAAAACTGGAGAGCTCGTCGAACGATGTTCTTCGACACGGATCAAAGAGTACTAATTGTTCTCCACTTTTTAACTTCCCCTATGGCGCAGTTTCATTAAGAGCTACGACTGTTTTAGCCTGTGAAACTGACAAAAAATAGGCTACTGCGATACAATGGGGTTGATAAAATGCAGTTCAAGAATGACTCCTGGAATGAACAAGCTTCCACAACAATCCAAGGACCTCATTGAACGCCTCAAAATCTGATCTCTTAACTATCCTTGCTACATTAGCATCATCCGCCGAACTTAGCGTCCTTAAAAATCGCTCGTATATTTTCAGTAGCCCATAGTCCGTGTCGATGAATGGAATGAATATGTGGGACGTACGCAAAAAGTATCTTTTGGGCAAACCAAGTAAAAAAAAACGATATAATTTGAAAGAAATAGTTATTTTCGTGCGAGGCAATTTACCATGGCCCAAGAGTCGTTTAATTAGTTTACACGAACAGCTTTCATTGACTATTAGGCCAACGTTAAACCTGCCAAATATTATTATATTCCTTACTTTGGCATCGAGATTGTTGTTTGTGCAGTTTTGAAGTAAAACTCTACACCATCATTATACGTTAACTGTACATCTATATGCATATAAGGGAAGTATTCAGAAGCAACTAGTAAAAAGTCAAGAATACTAGGTGAAATATAGTAGCTTATGTACCATAGCTGGCTGTGCATGTGACTACTCACTTAACGATATTGCTGATATTTAAGGATGCGTTTAGTTTCTCTAAGCCTGCTTTAATGTTTTAGGAGTTGCTATAGGTGGCATCTGTGTAGTAGGCTTAGTGTTTGTCGGTTGGCGGCCTCTGTTATATCAGCACCGCGCTGGTCAAGACTGATAGCGCTGTTAGTAAATTTGTCAACCTGTGATCGCCCTTTCCTGGGATTTTCAGAAGAACCTGTAAAAACTTTTGTCGTAAATGTGTAATTACTTGTTATGACTGCTAAATTTGAAAAGGTACGCGATGCGGATATACGCATGAACGGCCCCTAGTGTTAGAACGTTTAACATGTACAACATACCACACGGTATTC